AAGTGCCTGAGGCCAGAACGCTGAGTCCCAGAGTCCCTGAGGCCAGTGGCCTAGGGGTCCTTTGCCGTGTAAACAGGGCAATACGCCATATTTTTGCTGGCAAACTATGGGAACGCGATAAAGCTCCAAAGAAACCTCTATTTTTGCAAAGGAAACTTCAAACGGACGACATTTTTGTGGCCAAACTTTGAAACAGCAATATTTTTGAAATTAACCCTTATTTTTTTAGTTCACTCCGCCGTTCATGCTTTTTCGTCTTCCCCTCCTCCTATCCTTCCGTACCTCCTCCGTTCCATCTCTCTGTCACTCCCCCCTTCTTCTCATCTCCACTGATCGCGGATTCACCGTTGTCATCAGCACTTTCCCCGGCCATACTGTATTCTCGTGTGCACCTGTTCATCGCATCCTTCAGCAGTCCTTAGCGACATAGCATCCACCTGCCCTTCAGGCCCGAGTACGAAGAAAATGAGCAGCGGAAAAAATGAGCAGTGATAGCTAAGGGTGAAAAAGCGAAAAAAATTATGATGAAAGTTTGACAAAAATGGTAACTTAACTTACCAAGTACCTGCATTGTTTACATCCTCTACTCTCCTCCGCCTTCCCCTTCCTCCTCTCCTCCCCTACTTCCATAGTTTCCACGGCCGCACTATACTCCCCACATCCCATTCACGCCACTTTCCCGATCACATTCACTGAATCGGATCCCTTCATCCCCATGACGCACTCCTTCGCCGTTCCTGCCTCGTACCCTTCCCCCCCTCCTCTTTTTCCTACCATCCTCTCTCCCACCTTCCCCTTACTTCCTGCCTTCTCCCCATCTCCGCTGATAGCCGTCACCATCAGTGGTTTCCACGACTACATCCTGCGCCCTCCCCGCTCTTGCGAATCCTTCCATCGTCCCCTGCAATGTACCAAGCGCCCAGCTCTCCGGGGCCGAATCAATTGGACATGTGATGAGTTGATTTGGACATGTGATGAGTAGTGGAGCGAGGCCCTATTTTGTAGCGTGCTAACTCTCTCTCTCTCTCTCTCTCTCTCTCTCTCTCTCTCTCTCTCTCTCTCTCTCTCTCTCTGACGGAGTGGCCGCACAGTTCGAGAAACAAACAGCAAGTCTTTAAAATGCTGAAAAAATGTGGTGAGTTCATCTGGCCATGTTCTGGTGGGAAGTTCATTCTCATTTTGCACATCTCGAGAGTGGTGTGGCTATGCAGAGCTCCCTTCCTCCCCGACAGGGTGGGCGCACAGTTCAAGAAACTAGCACAGTTCAAGAAACTAGCACAGTTCAAGAAACTAACACCAAGCCTTCAAAATGCTGCGGGAGGGCGCACAGTTCGAGAAACTAACACCAAGTCTCCAAAATGCTGAAAAAATGTGCGGGGTGCATCTGGCCATGTTCTGGCGGGAAGTTCATTCTCATTTTGCACATGTGGAGAGGGGTGTGGCTATGCAGACACAGAGAGAGAGAGAGAGAGAGAGAGAGAGAGAGAGAGAGAGAGAGAGAGAGAGAGAGAGAGAGTTACATGCTGCGCATGCACACTCGGGCCTGTTGCAGGCCCAACGTCCTTCAGGCCAAAAGCCTGAATTTCAGGCCGAAAGCCTGAAATCCAGGGTTTACAGGCCCCATGTCGGATCAGGCCGAAAGCCTGAATTCCAGGGCCACAGCCCCTATGTCGTTTCAGACTAAAAACGGCATCAGCGTTTTTAGCCTGAAACAAAGGGCCATTTTCGGTCGTTCATCAGAACGACCGGCCCTGAAACTCAGGCACCGAACCAGGGTTTCGGAAGAGGCTATTATTAGCCTGTTCCCCACACCAGCCTCAGCAGGCTGCTGCACACCAGCCCCTGACACACGTCGGCATTGGCAAGAGCTGCCTCCTCGGCCTGGCTCGCCCTTCAGCAGTCAGGAGGCAGGCCGAGGTAGTACATAGGACTTCCCAGGCACTTCCCACTGCAGGCAGGCAGTCGGCAGTTGTAGTCTTCAGGATTCGAGAGCAGCACTCTGGAGGGAGCGCTACAGAGTAGTAGTAGCGTTAGCTTGTAGTCTTCAGCGCTGGGCGCAGTAGGTAGCTGTAGTCTCCAGCGCTGGGCGCCATAGCTAGATAGTACTAGAGAGAGAGAGAGAGAGATTGGGCGGAGGCCAGAGGCACTTACCTGCAGCGCCGTTGCTCCAGCTTCGTCTTCGAGGTACCTGCAGCACAGCGCCAATACCACAGGTCAGTATCTGGCTCGTAACAGTGAGAGAGAGTTCTTCTTCTTCCTCTTCTCAGTCCACCATCTCCTTCTCCCCCTCTCAACATCTGACTTCACTACATCTGCAGACTACGGGAGAAGAGAGACAGAGCTTGGTGACATTGGATCCAGACTCGACTTTTGG